ACACAATGGTTTCAGTTTTTTTCTGGGAACAGTTTCTGTAACCTTTTCCTGTCCTCTCTGTGTACCTTTTGTTGTTGCTTGCTTCTCCCCTACTGCCATGCAAGACTCTAGAAATCAGTATCAAAGCTACTGAGCGTCTTTTCATTGGCTTTGGCAATTTCTGGATAGGTGAAAGTATTGTATTGTTTGAGTTACAGACCAGGACTAATAAAGATGGTTGTTACTTTGAAAATCATGCAACATTGGCCTTAAACTGTAGCATAAGTAAGAAAATTTGTTTACATAATGCTGTCAGATGTCCAAATTAAATAAACTGTCGTAGTCTTCAAATCATATGTCTGTTTTAATGGTTAATTAGTATATAACCTCTGAATTTTTAAACTGATTCTGTTTCTTTAAACATGGTCTGATTATTTTTCACCGATTGAATTGCTTTGATGCAAATCACTAAAAGGCTTCTGAAAATTTAGTCCATTGGAATTGATTTTAGATGGAGGGGCTTTTTTGTGCTCTGTTTACATCTGTTTTCCCAGTTCCTCCATTAGCTTTGTTACCAGGAAATCTTGGCCACTAAAAGGTCACTCTGTGTGCATTAAGCAAAACAGTTTCCACTTCCTTTTTTTGCCACTTAGGAAAAAAAAAATTGAAAAAGTGAACATAAAATGCATAGGAAGAAGTTTATTATTTATTTCTAAACAATTTTTTTTAACTTTAAAGAGAAAGGACAGACCCAGTTGTGTGTGTTTTAGTTTGTACCTTAGTAGATAAGTTTTAGTTTCTGTTTAGAGTGAGGAGTTAATCTATTATATTTTGTTCTGGGCTAGGCTTCATATTCATGGGATTTCAGTCTCAAGTTTGGAACAGTCTCAAGTTTGGTTCAGTGACAAGATACGTCATCCTCAGTGACTTGCCCTTATCTAGAACTTCATTAGTGCGCTTCTATTTTGAGTGTCTGTTCTCTTTTAGGGCTGTTTAGTTTTGAAAAGAGTGCAGACAGGTTGTTTGGCTGTGTGTTTAATATACTTTTAAAAAACCCTTCTATTCTACTAGCCCTTTATTTTTCCTGCATGGTTTCAATTGAGCACATGTTGTAATAGACTTTCTTGTTTTCACAAAGTATATTTTTCATCTAAAGTTCATATGTTATTAACAAAAACAGTGTGCATTATATAAAATTTTGAAAATCCTGAACTAATAATCTTTTGTTACACACACCACGTAGGTGCTGCTGCATGTAATGCCTTATTTGACATAAATCTAGCCTGTGGGGAATGGGGAACAGCAGCTCATTTCCAGTTTTAAGTTGTAGGGCAAGCTGAATCAAATGTTTAAATAGATACAAAATCAGAAACACAAACCAGAGGCTGAGATTTGTATTTTTATGCCTTTTTCATTAGTTCTTACAGGATATTTGAACTTCCCAAAAAGGCCTCTCCAGTGAAAAATGAGGGTCAGAATATGCCATCCAAAACACACACACTTTTAACTCGTAAAAATAGAGGTGGTGATTCAGATTTACTTGTGGTCTGAGTTTACAATTTTAGATAAGCTGAATGCATTGGTTGCCTGTGGTCTGTGCAAGCCTGATATATAGAGGAGGCCAACTTTTAAATGGGAGGGTAGATTGTAATAAGCCCTTTGATTCCCTTAAATCACTGTGAACTGGCAAAGGGCACATTTCAGTATGATCAGAAGCACATGCACTTGTTGGCTTCACTGGCATGTGTATATTTGGTTTTTCATTGACAATAAATTAGCCAGCCGGCCTTTAAAATGCAAACTAGATAGCATGCAAACCAGCAATAGTTTGCTGGTGTTGTAGCAGCTAAAGAGAGCCTTTTAAAATCCTTTCTTTTTATAAGATAAATTGTTCAGATTAATGCAGTTGTAATTGTTGATTCTTCTAGTTTATTGAACTATATATAAAGGCATGCTGGAGTAATTGTATGGATAACAAAACTTTTCATTTAGGTATTTTCATTAACATAAGTCAAGTTAAATAATTTCTTTCACTGAACTTTTTCTTAACTCAATGCGATATTTGAAATTGAAGTGGAAAACAAATTATTGTGTTGTTGTTTTAATTGAATTACTAAATTGTATGTAAACTCGAAGCACTGGCTTTGGCAGTCTATGGTGGAACATGCTAATGAAACCTGACAGGCTTAGGAATTTGTTTCTTCGTGTGCAAAAGGAAAGCTGCCAGATTTTTTTCTTCAGTATTGGCAGACATAAAGCTTTTGATTTTGTGTTGATGCTTGCAGAGCATTACTAATTATAAAAAGCAGTTGAGCAACCTTTGCGTAGTTCTGGCACTCTGTCTGACTCAAGTGTTAAATGATTCAAACAGTTCTATAGAAGAATCTGCTTTTCCAAAACTGTTACTTGTGTACATTGTTCCTTGTAAAATTTAACAGTAGGGAAATATTTCATAGTATGAATTTAAGATAATTAATAGAAAGATCTGCCTTTGAAATAAGAATGCTGTTGACATTTATTTTGAAACTATCTCTTTAATATGTAGGCTTTTTTCATACTTTGTTTAATTCATATATTGTGCCCACTAGTTCCAGAAAGTCCCAAGTTGAAAATGTACTTTATTGTAACAGTTGGATCTTCTTTCCATAGTTCATTATTTATTTTTCTTTTTTAAAAATACAACAAAAGCTCTTTGTTTCTTTGTTTGTGTAAGGCAGCAGTGTTTAAACCACTTCTGTAAAAATAAAAATATTTTAGTTTTGTAATTATTGGAACTTACATGAAATCCCTGTGGCATTTTTTAATACTCAGTTTGTGATCAGAGATGATTTAGACTTTTTTCCTTTACACAGCAGAATTGTATTCTCTCAGCATTCACATCAAGCCCCTCTACAAGTAAAATCGTCAGCCTGAGACAAGTATACCCACCTGTATGAGCATTGTAGATTCTTTTTTTCTATTTATGTTTCTGTGGGAGAGAAAAGGAAGATTTTTTTTTTAATACACATGAATGGCAAATCATTTAGAAAGTTGTGTATGGCAGAGTGGCAGGATTGGGAATTGGGCTTGGGATGATGGGAGAAGTTTGAAGCAAGCAATTTCAGTTAATACTGATCATCTCCTTATCAAGTAAAGTTACTCTTTTGTTGTAGAAAAAGCTGTGACCCTTAGGGAAAATGTTTTTGTAGTTTAAATGCATTTATATAGAGGAAATCTTAAAACCATAGAAATGGTTCTGTGTTTCTTTAAAAAAACTCATTAATAGAAAAGCAGTAATTACAGAAATTCCTATTTCACACACTTTGGATAGTAGAACATAGCTGGATCGTTTCTCTTCTGCTTTTACACCAACACAGATGGTCGTTTTTCAGAAGTGTAGAAAAAGATTTCTTGAAGTTGGGATTAATAAATGCTCTGAAATGTTAATAATTCTAATATTTTTCTCAATTTGCATATGAATGCTTGAAAATTGCCTTTTAAATTTTAGACTGTGTAGTACAAATCAGTTTAACTCTTTAGCTCCTGGGGCTTGAATGAGATACATCTTGGTAAACGAAGTGCAAGCATTGTGTGTCCTGATTAGCACTCCAAGAATTGTGAATAAGTGTGCTAGGCACTGTTAAGGACATGGAGAAGGAGGACAAATGTCCTGGTGGTGACCATTACTTTTATCACTGCGTAATGTGCAACTGCAAACTGTTTGAAGGGATTTTTGTTTAAGAGAATAAAGGTCAGTGATCTTTCTGTTTATTTCATCTGGCTGAACAATGTCCACCTGCTTTACAAACTAAAAGTATGGACGTAAGGGCCAAGTTCAGTCCTTTCTGTCAAAGTTACAATTCAGTCTCAACTCCTAACAATATCAGCAGGGACACTCAGCTTTTACCAAGGGTAGACATTGACAAAATGTGTAGGTTTTGTTAAAGAAAATAAAAATGATTTTTCCTCCTCAGTTTCATTCCTATTCTTAGTGTACAATTGTATGTGAAATACCAAAAGTGTTTCCAACACACGATGCTTCTGCACTTCTGTGTGAGTTCTAAGTGTACTGTTCTGAACCATGTCTTCTTATTTCTCCCTTTTTGATTTAGCACTGTTAGAAGGGATGGTGAAGTTTAGAAGGAAGAACTGAAGCAAAAATCTTCCTGCAAATGTATACTAAAATGAACAGGTTCAGAGTCTACAAATATGCTAGGGCATTTATTCCCTGAAATATTCTTGTAGTTAAGGTGGTAATCTTTTGTGTCTAGGTATTGTTTGACCATAGTATGTCTTATCTGTTGATAGCCAGCACTATTATTTTTTATAGAAGATAGATCTCTCTGTATAACAAAGTCTTCATGGTTCTATCTTTGATATTTAGCATGCATTCAGAATGTGACTGGATTTGAGATGATCAGTAAAAGCACCATACAGGTATAAAATAAATTTTAAAAGTCAAATACCCTCTTTAAATCTAAGAAGTTTGCTAATAAATATTTGCAGGAGTTAAGAATGACATTGCTGACAAACTTCTTCATAAACCAGCCATAGTTGCAGCACTTCTACAACAGCACTTAGCAGATGCTAAGCATCTATTCTGGAAGCCAGACATATATTGTTCCTGCTTCACAAACAGCAGAAGTGATGTGGAGGGATTGTTTTTGCTCCATGCCTCCCGGGCATCTGTGCCAGTTGGAAGTAGAGCAGGCTTGTCCTTGACAGTCAAGGTGAACAGGGGAGAAACAAACATACTGTGCCTATTGTTTTACTGTTATGTTGGGTTTACCTGCTGCTGGAAATTTTGCACAAAGTGGAAGCTTTATGTTGTGATGCCACCAAATTGGATGGCTCACAAGCTATATAGTGGTTATCAAATCCCCATAATGTTCCTGAGTTGACCCATAGTGGTGCAAACCCTTCTGCTTATTGAGACTTACAAGTTGATATATTTTAAAAAAAGGTATCAAAAAATAATAATTACACCCTCATTACTTTTGCTTCTTATTCCTCCTTTTCTGTTTACTGTATTTTATTTATAGGTGTTGATTTTAAAATCAAAACAGTAGAGCTAAGAGGAAAGAAAATTAGATTACAAATCTGGTAAGTAAAACAAATGTGCAACCAGCAGTATGTTTTAATTTTATGTTCTAGCATGAATTAATATGCTTGTCTAATACTCCTATTAACTGTTATAAGCTGGTTTAGCTCTTACCCTACTACTCCTCTCCTCCATTCCCACAAGACTTAAGCAAAACCAAATAGCTCTTATATTTTTGTGTGGGTAAAGGAGGAGAAGGAGAGATAAAGTTAGAAGTAGGGCATGAATGTAATTACTGAAATATTAATGCATCACAGACGACTCGAGCCCCTTTTCCTAGAAGAATGACATCACCTACAGAAGAAATAGGAGTTCTACAAACAACAAAAGGTGACTGTGCTAAATAGACACTAGAGAAAGTACACTTTGTTTTCTTTATTTTTCTGGACTGATTAAAACTGACCTTCATTGTAACAGCAATTTTAAAACAACTGTGAAGTATTTTCTAAACTGTTTTTCTAAAACTTGGTATAGGCAATGCTGTTTCTTTGATGCTGTTTGAAATAACTTCAAAGTTCAGGGCATTCGAGACTTAAGTAAATTATATCCGCTCTAAACAGTGTGGGAAAATGGTTCTCCATGTTAGTGATTAATATGGGTTTTATTGTTTAGAAGTTATTGAGTTTAACAACTCCTTTGTTTTGTGGAGTAGTACAATACATAAACATTACTATGAGAGAATAAACCAGCTATGTTCTATACATTAACCTTGTATACTACTATGTAGAAGCTTAGCTTTGGTTTATTAACAGTGTATGATGCATAATTGGCATTGTAGTTAAACTGTTTAAGCTGCTAACAATCCATAGAGGGGGGGAAAAAGCTCTAAATATTCTTGTTGTTACACTTTTGGGATATTCTGATGGTTTGTCGTTCTTAACTACATGGATGCAGTGAATTCAGCTTACTAACTCCTCTTGGCAGGTCACCATCAACTCTGTCTGTCACACCATGTGTCTGTCTTGCTTCCCTCTGAGTTAACTGCTGCTTCATCTTTGGTCTCATCAGTCACCTAACACTTGAATGTTAGTGGCATGTCTTCATTCATCTGTCCCTGTTTGGAAACCTATGACCACAAGACTGGCAGTTGAGCCAGCAATTGTTAGCCAGGGTCTGCTGGAGCTGACAGAGGTAACAAAAAATTCTGATGTGGAAATACTACTGTATGCCTAATATGAATGCTTGCTGTGAAATGTGGTAAGCTGATACAAAAAAATTCTCCTGTTGAATAACTACATTATAGGAGAGAAGTTTTATTTTAAAAGAGGTGTTTAAACCATTATTTTCCACATATTGAGAATATGCTAGTAGGATATAGGAAACTTAAAACTAAAAGTTGAAAGATTGCTAAATTGTGATGATTACTCCTATGTGGAGCCCTGCTACAATGGCAAGGAAAACACAATGTAATGAGATAATATTTTAAAATATGATAAAATCCACAAACACAACATCCTCCTCCTAAGTGTCACTTCATCTCCAGCTGTGGCTGTTAAAATGTTGTTCTTATACTGAATCTTTAAAACTGTCTTGGCTTACTTCCAGTTTTTTAGAAAAGCAATTAGATAAGCACTCCTTTTGCTAATTTATGCTGAATTTTGTTGTGTATTTTGTTGGACCTGTTTATAAACTCTTATTAACACAGAATCACAGAATTATTTAGGTTGGAAAAGACCCTTAAGATTAATAAGTCCAACTTATAACCCATTGCTTATAACCCAACTTATAACCATGTCCCTAAGTGTCATATCTAAATGTCTCTTAAGGTGACTCAGCCACTGCCCTGGGCAGCCTGTTCCAGTGCTTGACAGCCCTTATGGTGAAGAGGTTTATTTTCCTAATATCCAATCTAAACCTTCCCTGGCACAACTTGAAGCCGTTTCCTTTTGTCCTGTCACTGGTTACTTGGTAGAAGAGGCTGCCCCCAGCTGGCTACAACCTCCTTTCTGGTAGTTGTAGAGAGGGATAAGGTCTCCCTTGAGCCTCCTTTTCTCCAGGCTAAACAACCCCAGCTCCCTCAGCTCTTTATTGTATCTTCAATTGTTAGATTGAAGAGGAAAGCAATTTAGTAAGTCAAACACTTGGAAGTTAAAAATGCAGACTGCAATTGCATGGCTAATCATAAGTCAGTCTCTTTTCATACCTACACAGTGACAGAATTTAGGTTGCCTCATACTTCCTGGTAGTTTTACATATAATTGCAGTAACTTTACTAAAAAAAATGTTTTATTCAGTGAACAGATAATTTCTGAACTTTATGTTTATTTGCTTTCTTAAAATGACTAAAGTTATGTTTTGAAGCATCAGGGTTTGTTTTTTTTTTTATTTAGCCATTTGATGATTCTACTTTAAAAGTCAAACAAGAACAGTTTAAAAAAAGTTTAAATTTGGTATTTTTATGGTCACTTGACCTGTTTCTCCACTGACCACTCTGTCAGCAGAATGTTTTCCATAGAGCTCTACCGCTTGTTCTACCACTTGAGTTTATCAAAAGATATATTAATGTAGTGCCATGTTGAATATTTCAATCAATTGGGTCTGCAAAACGTCCTTTTTAAAGCAGCTGTCACACCTGCTGCTTTTAGTAGAGTAGTATACAAAAGGACTTGTCACCTGTATTCCCTTTATAATGCAATACCATGCCCTAAGGATCACAGAGGCGTCTCCTCTCACCTCTAGCTTTACCTGTTCCTATCTGGTCCCTGCTCCCCCTGTTTCCATGACTTTCAGTCAGGAAACAACCTTGTACTTCTTAGATTATGCAATGATAGAGCACCACTGAGGACAGAGAGTAGTGTCCATCTTTTCTGTGCTACCTGGAACAGTAGTAGTGCCCCTTGCATTGCCAAAAGTAGTGGGATGCGGTAATTAAGGTCCTGCATCACAGTTCTTGGCTGAAACAAGTTCCTGTGTTCTATAAAAAGTAATGCATGCGTGCAGCTCAGGCCATGGGGTAGAGTAACCAGAACTACTGGATAGTTCAAGTGTCTAAGTGAATCCAGGCATCTGTGAATCAGCGCTTTTTCAAAGCTGGAAACCCAGACCAAATAATAGCTCCACATTGATGCTTTGAAGCATAGATGTGCTGGGAGTTGCTCAGTAGGACAGTAAGGTGTCCGACTGTGCCCTCTTAACGTGAGTCATCTGGGCACTCATTCACACAAGCAGCTGACATGACCAGCAGTCACTTCCAGCCTTCCCTCAGAAAGGACCTGGTTGCTGGAAGCAGTGGTGCCCTGCCATTGCACCGAGTTCCCTGCTGGAGCCAAAGGGGCTCTCTACCTCTACAGGCCTAATGCCCTAGGTAGCCGGTGTCCTGGCAACAAAACAGTCTTGATTTGCTTCTGAAGGTTGTTTTAAAGTGGTGCATTCTCAGTTCACATTCTGCCGGCTCTGTGGTCTAAGGATCAGTTGTCTTGGAAAATCCTTGTCCTGGAGTATAACAGAATGTAGTTCCTTTTGTTCAGTACCTCTGAAATACATTATTTATATAATAAAAGATCTTAAGTATCTTTCTGGTTTATGGGAGGAAAAAAACTCATCTTGACAAGTAGAATTAACCTCTAAAATTACTTTAAAGCATTTTTTAAAATACTGCCTGTAGGTTCCATAAAAGCATAGAGCATGTGAGTGTTAAATTAGTGTTAAATTTTTATTAAAGTTTTAAAAATATTTTCCCTTCTATTGCCACTTCACACCACCACTCATAAAAAAGTAATTTAAGTACAGAGCCAGAGACAGTTTTGAGTCTGTCCATGTGTTTGTTTCAACTGGTGTAGATAGACACAGAGAACATTTATGTAAAAGAAAAATTATCCAAACATATTTTAATTAACTGTATTTGTATTGTATTTTATGCAGTATGACATAGAATATGACATATCAACGCTTGAAAATGGGCTTTGTGTGATTTTTTTAATTTCTTTTGTTTGATGTAATGTATGTTTGTATTTTATGTCTAATTTCTGTTTTGGAAGCAGAAAAACAATCAATCGGTTGGATTCTGTAATTGCAGAGTATAGCTGGTCAAGGAGGCATTCACTGTATGTTTCTGATTACAATTTAGAAATACTAGTATTTTTCCTTTAGAAAATTTTCTTGAAAAAATCAAAAGGCTTTTAGCATTTAAAAAAGAGAAATCTGATGGTTTGTTGTTGGGTTTTTTTTCAGTTATGCTAGATCATTGTTTAAGTTGTAGTAACTTATTATTTGGACTTCTGGAGTTTGAATTAAATTCAACTGACTTAGGCTATTGCGTTGATTCTGACCAGAGCAAATAAAGGACTAGTAGCACTTAGTATCACTTAGGAAGTTGATGAAGTTATGTACTGTTAGCCCAGTTAAATAGTGGTCATCTCTTCTTCCACCTTTGCATTAGTGCTTCAGTAGTTATCCTTAGTAAAATATTCCAGCTGCAGGAGTCTAATACATGGATGAAAATAGTGTAGCAAACTATTGCTCCAGCACTGCACATGAAAGGAAGGCATTTGAAGTTGGATATGCTTTTAACGGTAGCTCTCCATTGAGGGTTGTGATTTTTTCCTGAATATTGGAAGGATTTACTGCACATTTGTGTGAAAAATAAGATGAAAATGGGATTTTTCCATGCAAAAGATCATGTTATTCTTCTCAAACTGCAGTTTACTTAGGTAACTTGGGGTTGCATTCTAAACTTACTTATTGCAGAAATAGTTTTTCAGTTTTCACCTTACTGTTTGACAGCAAATGCAATTTTAGGGTAATGCTAGAGATCACAAATTCAGCTTATTTTCTTCCACTTCTCAAAGGATATCACGTTTACAATCAGAAACCTGCTGACTGGTTTCATTTCAACCTGTGGCAGCAGTAGAGGTTGTGTGAAGTGTGGAGAAGTCGATGACTTAAAGCAAGGCAGAGAAAGTCAGCCATAATCCACAGTAATTGGCACGACTGGCAGGTGTCAGTCAGTAGCCATCTGGCCATTTATTTTAAGTGGTGGGCAGCCAGGCTGTCCATGGGTGTTTTAAACTGGGCACAGCATGTGGTGTGTCCTGAATAGCCAGCAAGCGAGACTACAAGTTGTGTGACGTTTGGGTGAAGGACCTACACAAATGGGAGCACAGGATCTGAGGGTGCAGCAACCTAGGAATACCATAAACTTTTAAAGAGCCCGGGGGTGTTATAGAGTGAGGAGAAGCTGATAGTACCAGGTGGACTTGGCGATACAGCACTTAGCAAACTAGGGGAAATGTGGAGTTGGAGATAGCTGGAGTGGGAGAGTTGCATAATGTTGTGTAGTTTTCTTTGTTGCTTACTTAACCAGTGTGCTGATGACTGACTTCAGGGAGGGTAGGTGAACATTAGTGTGTTTATTTCCCCTCTGTTTTTATAATGTATGGACTCAGTGGTCTGGTACCCTGGTGGCCCCTCTGTGATGGAGTTGCTGAAGCTCCTTAGCAGTCACCTGGAGGCACAGACAGGTGACTTTGAAACACCCTCTTTATTTCTGTGTTCCAACAGAGGTACAGAAAAGAGGGAAAAGACTGGCCAGGAAAAAAAGCAAAACAAAACCCAAAACCAAACAAAAAACCAACCCACAAAAAAACCCCCAATGACAACAAAAGCAGCTTTTCCCATTATTCTGGACAAAGCTAAAATTGTTATATTCTTCTGCATGAGGTATACCCTTCCACCTGCCATCCTAGTTAAGTCTGCTCAGAGTGATGGAACCAAAGGTATCCAATCCTCAATATACTTGATCAGTAGGCTGGATTAGCAACAGATGGCAGAATTCTGAGAATTCTGTTCATAAGCACTAGAGCAATGTTATCCATATGTGGAAAATCAACGGTTCATACTAGAATTTTTAAATTTTTCATGGAATGAACGTCCAAAGGACCTTCCATAAATAAATCTGACCATAGCCAAGAAGTAATGGAAAATAAAGTAGAGTTACTTGCTCTAATACTTATTATATGTATTTTCAGCTGCCAGAACTTGTATTGCTTTAATAAAAATGCCTCTAGTGATAAGAAAGCAACCAATTAACCATCTAAAACTGGCCTGCAATACTACTAGTGCATGACCTTATTGAGACAGGCTACCTGTTTTCACCTTCTGTAGGTTCCCAAAGGTTTGTATGAATGTAATTCTGAAGTTCTGAGAATGGGATTTGAATAACAATCAAATAAAAATGGATGTGATAGGAATTTGTTCTCTTCTGCCTCATGTTGCAATGTCATTGGCTTGCAGTGAAATATAAGTCAATATGTTTCCACAGGCTATGAAGCAGAGGTTCAAAATCTTTTTCTAGTGGACACTGCTTTGCTTTGTGAATTCATTGCCACATATTTTTTGCTATCAAGTACGCTTGTGGCAATTTGAAGAGAAAGTTAAGTACTTCACTTTTAAACTTGCTTTTTTGAAATTCCTAAAGATTTCATGAAGAGTAAGATAGGTTTGCGGTAGTTTGTTCTACTGCTTGTTGTGTACAGGCCTTAAAAGGATTAAATCTTTGGGACAATCGATGTGGCATTTTGTGAACACACTTCTTTTTTTTTTGGTAACAAGTGTTTCAGGTCTCCATTGTTAATCTCATTCCCAAATTCATTCTCCTCCTTCTCCTTTTGTCTAAAATGTGACTGTTGAAGAGGGTTCACGTTGAACTTTTGAGTCCAAACACAAATGTGCACATTTTTCTCCATCCGCTCTTAATTTTGGTCCATCTTCTGACTTGGTCTAAGTAAAATTTCAAAATTATCCGTTTAATCTGGGGGCTGAACTCAAGCAACAAATGCTTGATCACTTTAAGGCGCCATATAACTTCTTTTCCAGTTGAGATGCCAGTCACATTTTAGGACTTGAGGTATGCACCAGCTATATTTTTACTATAACTGCCAAAAATCTTCCCTAAGCAGTCTTGATAAAATTAAAAGCAGTGCACGGGTTTTCATGGTTCAGTAAAAAATTATGCTTCTGTCTCATCTACTTTGGAACAGAAGCCATAGCTAGTATGGGTGACTTAGTGTCATTGCTGGCTAATAATCTCCAGTGTAAATGCACCCTGTCTGAAATACCTACAGTGCTGACAGTGAGCATGGAAATGTTATTTGAACGCCTCAGATAAGTAGATGCAAGTGTGAAAGCCAGGTATCTACTTTCAAAACTTGTACCAATTGGTGATTGCTTATTCTTTTCATTGACTTCTGTGACAGTAGCTTCTGAAGTAGTTTCAGAACTGTGGCTGAATTGCTGTGGTTGATCCAAAAAGACTCTGAAAGCTCAAATCAAAATGATCAGTGCATTGCTTGTGTTATAGTTGGGTGTCTGGATGTATCCATTTATTTTTTCATTTTTTTCAGGGCTATTAAAAAAACAAACCAAAACAAGGGACCACAAAACAAAAAACAAACTCCAGCAATGCAAAACCAGCTTTATCTGCTGGTACATTTTCATTGGACAGCTTCATTCTCAGACACATGTAGAAATGTTTGGTGGCCTTTCTTGGTGAAGTTAGTATGGGATAAATAGTTCTAATATGAAAACTTTTAATGATTGAAAGTACTACTCCATTTTTTTCTCTGAAATTCACACATACAGGAGGAAATGTAGAGTGTCTAATGAGTGTGGGGGTGTTACTATTAAAATGTAAAAAAAGTTGTTCTGTACTTTGCAAATTGGTGAAATGTTTGTGCCAATGTTTGCTGCTGCTTCTTAGGGACACAGCAGGTCAGGAGAGATTCAACAGCATTACCTCAGCATATTACAGAAGTGCCAAGGGAATTATTTTGGTGTATGATATCACCAAGAAGGAAACATTTGACGATTTACCAAAATGGATGAAAATGATTGATAAGGTATGCCTTAAGTATTTTCTTTTTACATGCTTTTTTCAAGAAGCATTTTTTTCCCTCAGAGAAATCTCTGTCAGACATTTTACAGCATTGAGTTAGGATTTTTAAACTACTTCCAGTTGATTTTCACTAGATTCTTTTAGCTAGGATTTAACATTAATTTGGTTTTGTTGCAAAATGGTTGTCCGTTCCTAATTCCTTGAACTAGAATTGTCCCAGCTAGAAGTGTCAGTGGAATTCTGTAACATTACTCATTTACCTGTGCAGTAAAGGGAGGGGGGTTATTTCCTTTCTGTGAAATGAGGTCATTATGTTCATTCTTAGATAAACTGGAACAGCTAGTTCTCAAGTCATGTTTTAAAGATGGAATTTAAAAATTGAAGTTAAAAATTTTTGAAATAATTTTTGGGAAGAACATTTACATATAAACTGATTTGGTGTGCTTCCCCATTTAGTAGAGGAATTGCCCTTTTTTGTATTGTGTTTGCGTTACAAAATCTTACGTTTCTAAGTTTAGTTAATTAAAAATGTTTTAATTACAGTATGCTTCAGAAGATGCAGAGCTTCTATTAGTTGGAAATAAACTGGACTGTGAAGTTGATCGAGAGATTACTCGACAGCAGGGAGAGAAGGTAAGGACAGGTCTAGAAACAAAGCTGCTGTGGCACTGCTGTTGATGGTCCATGGCTGCTCTTGTTCAGACTGTTAGTTGTAGAGAGCATATTGAGAGTGGTGTTGATCTGGCAAAATTCCTATGGTATTTGCTGCTATGGAACGTGCAGTTTATATATGTTCCTGCTGGAGCAGTATGATCTAAAGAAAGTAAGCTGTAAGTAGGCTTACACTATACAGTAGTGTTGGAGATACCCCTTTCTGGGCTCTGAAAGTGAAGACTTGAATCACAAATGAAGATACCTTTACTCAGGACATGTTTGCGAGCCTTCTTTCAGTACTGGTTTTGGACAGGCAACAGCCCTGCTTGGTTACTTAGCTCACCTTTGTTTTCATTTTTGTTATGTTCTCTTGCAACTCCAAAAGTGTTAGAGAGTACAGGAGTGACAAGCAGTCAAGGTACTCATATCATTAGTGTGATACTCATCTTCATCAGGACAATATCAGTATGGGCATACACAAACATTTGGAAGTGAAGTGTTTTCTACCAGAGAGTCAAGGCTAATTCTTACATCCCTTTTCTGCATTTTGAATAATAAGGTTCAGATTAACTCTTCTGAAAAGTTATTACTTTTTGTCTGCAGCAATCTTGTGTCAACTGAATATGTGAATTTCTCAGATTTAAGTCTGGAAAAATGCAGAACACTTCCCAATAAACCAATTTTAAGCAAAAATTAGCTGTATGTTGCAGTATTTGCTGTACCATGCAGATTCAGGATTATTATTTGAATTAGACTTTAGTCACAGATTTGGGGAAAGTTGTGTGTTTGATTTTTTCTTAAGGTTTTATGGGGAGGGCAGGTATATTTGCTGATTTTTGCAGTTTGTGCATATCTTCATGGAGTTATTTTATTTTCTCTCCCATCAGTTTGCACAGCAAATAACCGGGATGCGGTTCTGTGAAGCAAGTGCCAAGGATAATTTTAATGTGGATGAAATATTTCTAAAACTTGTTGATGACATTCTGAAGAAGGTAAAATACCAGGTGGTAGTTCCTCTGACCACATAAATGGTCGATGTTTAAATAATGATTGCACATGCTTGGGAGGACATAGAGGGCAAGTACAGACTGTCACGTGAAATTTTTGGATAACATGTAGCGGGCATGATGTAGTTCGCAGACTGCTGACAGATGTATTTCACTAATAAGATCCAAAAGATCCTTAAATTGAGGCTTTGGCTGACCGTGAACTCCTGAAACGAGTTCTTTGTGCTGAGTTCTATGCAGATGACTGTTACAGGTGATTTTTCTTTTCTTTAAGATGCCACTGGATGTTATAAGAAATGAGTTGTCCAACAGTATCCTGTCCCTGCAGCCAGAGCCAGAAATCCCACCAGAACTGCCTCCTCCAAGGCCACATGTCCGTTGCTGTTGACTTGTTACTTCCTACAGAGTGAAAAATAGGAGCAGGAGGGTAAAGAAAGTATCTGTACTACTCTGCACTACAATCATTTGGCAGTTTCTTGTTGCACTTTGTTATTCAAGTCAGAGCTACACACTAACTTGTAAATATGCAAATATGCAATCCTATGTAGGATTCAACTATAACATTAATTATTACCCCTCTCCCTCACGATGATGTTTTGTTCATTGCCCCAGTGTTATAAATACTGTACAGTCGTTGGGGGTTTGCCACACATCCCGTTGAGGAGAAGGAGAAATTAAATCTATACCTATTCTTGACATAAATGTTGTAATAGTTCTTTGTTATTATAAACAGGCAGGCAGAAGCTCTTCTGGTATGAAGATAAGTATATGGTGCTTTGCTAACTATTTTAAAGACAAATTTTTTAAAAACAGAGGACTTTATGTACAAAGCTTCCATAATGGGCGTTATGTTTCCTTTTAATGTAGTGAAAACACTTTTTGGCTGTAGCATCCTCTGCTGACTGGATTTATTGAAAAGCTAAGTTTAATTTTTGGCAGTCTTCTATTTATTTTGTTTAATGCTGCACCCTTTCTTTGTGTACCAAGACATCACATCTGGTGCAGATCTAAGATTGCACTTTGAAATAGCATATATAATTTTCTGCATAAACATAAACTTGGGTTACAAGAATCACTACGTTTCAATAAAAGAATGGATATATATTCAAGGTCTAAAAGAAAGTATAAAAAGCAATGCTGCTGTCCTAGACAAATTCTTAAAAAAAAATTAAAATTATACTTTTCCGGTGTTAAGGAATATATATGTGTATTTTTGTCTGGACATCTGTAGGGTTGGGGGGAAGGGAACCTAAGGTAAAATTATTTTCTTTCCTAATGGTGGAAATTATTCCCATCAAGCAAATATTGTGTTAGGATTTTGTCTGATAATTAACTTGTGAATTATATCTTTGGTATATCTTTTATTAAATGCACTGTTTAGTTTAGCTGTGGTAAATCAGTAGATACATATTTGAATAACTTGGTGTGTCCTGAATGTTGTGGTATTGAAAAACATTGTGGTCTTTCTAAACTAATGAAGTGCAAATAAAATTTTGTATTTATGAATGACAGTGGAACTGCACCTGTTATTAGAATGGCAAGTATCAAGTGATGGGTAAAAGGTAGAATCTGGAATATGGAACAACACTTGTTTTAATTTTGTTATAATTTAATTTTCTGCTTGACAGTTCCTTTAGGTGCAGTGAGAAGAGCAGCAGATGTTAGTTGTTCACCTTGATCACTGCTCTGTTGGGAGAGCAGCTGATGACCTAGCCCAGCTCATATCTTCAAATAGCATGTGACTGCCTGTCATGCTGTCTTAGCAGGTGGTCGCCAGACTATTAATTACACAGAAAACACAAGTATGAACCGGTCTTTTTTACACTACAGCTTTTCTACTTCACGTTCTCTGGTGCTGGAACACATTTTGTCACTTTTGCCACTCTTCTAACCAGAACACTGGCACTGAACAGTAAGGTATACTGCTGACTTAAACAGCTTCTCTCTGTTTTATGGGAGAAAAAAGATACAAGAAACCTTTTAACATTTAAAAAAAACCAACAAAAAACCAAACAAAACCATACCAAAAAAAGAGCCCTTATTTCACTGAGTAAGCTCTGACAGTTTGAATACAATACCATGCAGGTCTTAAGCACACCTGGATTTCTACTGACAAATTAAGGAAAGCATGGTTGATATTTGTGTCTTCTGCCACCTTGTGCCTAAACAGTTTGCCTTTTTACATGGTAAACTTACAGTTTGTTATCATATTGGCAAGGTAAAATAAATTTCTAAAGCACTTCTATGAGTTCTGATGATACTGTGGGCAATAGCAAGGAAGGGAATCTTATGGAAAATGGATTTTAACTTGACAACTATTTTATTTTAGCTGATTTGTTTTTATTTGTACTTAGAAACTTGTGATTTTTTTTTTCTGCAGTTTTTGAATTTAATAAAAATTAAGACATTTGACTTAGATAAACTTTCTTTTTGTAGTTCTGTGCTGTTTGTATATAGGCAGATTGGAATCTCAGTCTCTTGTACCAAAAATTAAAAACTGTTGCATTTGAGAAGGACATATTTTTGTGAGTATTTGAATGTATTTGATCATTCATTGGAAATCATAAAAAGTTCAGGAAACCTGTTTACTTTGCATCCATTATACTATGAAGAGGGTTCTGGCTCTTGATTTTATCTCTGCAGATTTTATATGAGTCAAAACCACTGCATTTATGTGCTTGCTCCACCTAGCAGACATTTGTGGTGTGATGCAGAAAGAAGGGTGGGAAAAGAAAGTTATTCATGCTGCTCCCTTGCCTCATAGGGAAGTTCAGCCGTCAGCCCAACCTTTGTTGACATCTAATGATGGAGTGTTTGAATGGTCTTTACAACCACTGAGAGAGATCACAGGATGGAAAGAAAAAGGGAAGGTGACCGCTAGCTGCAGCTCTCAGTCTGTTCTAACCTGTGTTAGCAGATCAACGTTCTTTAGAAGCCTCAGTTAAAGGGGTCCCATTCCCTCTTTTCTGGGAGCATGTGGGACTGTTTCCTTCTAATACGTGCTTTACCACTAAATTCATCAGATGCTACTGAGGTCCTCTAGTCCCTGGCAGTTTCTTCATGATGGAAAAAAATACATGGGAGTGTCTTTTGGTAAGCAGAAATCACAGAAGTGTCAGAAATAGGATAGTAATATCTACTCCGAAGTAGTGGTGGTTTCTTGACTTTCTTGAATCACAGAAATAATGAAATACTGAAAAAATGATAGATCGTGGCCACTGAATGATGGTTTGCTGCTGATTTCAATGTAGTTAGGATTTAATCGAGTAAATTCCCGAAATTGTATTATGTAAGATTAGCACTGTGTCTTGTACCAAACCCAAAGTTTATATCTATCAAGAGACTAAAATAATATTTGATTGCGTCCATAAACTTTTAGACCTGGGCATTCAGCCAGTGGGTTGAATTAACAGATAATTTCTTCAGAAGCGAACAACAGGAACATAGAAAGACTGGAAATTTCTCTTTTGTCTACTGATCACAATATGGGAAAAAATGAAAACCATTGCCTTATCAGGATGTCTCAAATGATGCACTGTTGCTGTGTGTACTAGAGGAATAGCAACAGTCACATCTTCCTTTCAGTAGTTGTTCTGCTCCTTCAGAGCAGAGATATACAACTAATGTCAACATTTGGTACTTCTGATAAAGGAAGACCAGAAGAAGGTGGAAAAAAAAGGATTGGAAGTTAAAATACCAAATCTAAACCTCCCCTGGTGTAACATGAGGCCATCTCCTCCTGTTCTGTTACTTGGGAAAAGAGGTTGACCCTCACCTGGCTACAACCTCCTTTCAGGTAGTTGTGGGGAGCGATAAAGTCCCTGCTGAACCTCTTCTTCTCCAGGCTAAACTACCCCTGGTCCCTCAGCTACTCCTCATAAGACCTGTACTCCATCCCCTTCACCAGCTCCATTGCCCTTTTCTGGACACACTCCAGCACCTCAATGTCTTTCTTGCTGTGAAACTGAGCACAGGATTCAAGGTGCAGCCTCACCAATGCCGAGTACAGGGGGACAATCACTGCCCTGGTCCTGCTGGCCACACTGTTCTTGTTACAGGCCAGGATGCCATTGGCCTTCTTGGCCACCCGGCCACACTGATGGCTCGTGTTCAGCCGCTGTTGACCAGCACATCGAGGTCCTTTTCCACTGGGCAGCTTTCCAGCCACTCTTCCCCAAGCCTGTAGTATGACATGGGCTTGTTGTGACCTGAGTTCAGGACTGGCATTTTGCCTTTTTGAACCTCATGCCACTGGCCTCAGCCTGTCAGTCCAGTATGTTCAGATGCCTCCGCAGAGCCTTCCTGCTCTCCAGCAGATCAATGCTCCTGCTCACCTTGGTATCATCTCCAAACTGACTGAAGGTGCGCTCAATTCCCTCATCCAGATCATCAATAAAGACGTTAAACAGGACTGGCCCCAACACTGAGCCTTGGAGAACTCCATTAGTGACTGGCTGCCAGCTGGATGCAGCACCATTCACCACCACTCTGGGCCCAGCCATCCAACCAGTTCTTAACCCAGTGACGAGTACACCTGTCCAAGCCATGAGCAGCCAGTTTCACCAGGAGAATGCTTCAACTTTACTGAAGTCCAGGTATGCAACATCCAGAGCCTGTCCCTCATCCTCTAGGCATGTCATCTTGTCATGGAAGGAGATTGGGTTAGTCAGGCAGGACCTGCCTTTCATACACTTATACTGACTGTCCTGTACATGCTATGTGATGGCACTAAAGATGATCTGCTCCATGACCTTCCCTGGCACTGAGGTCAGACTGACAGGACTGTAGTTCCCTAGATCCTCCTTCTGGCCTTTCCTGTAGATTGTCTCACCTCCTGTCAACTGGGACCACCCGGGTCAGCCAGGACTGCTGATAAATGACAGAAAGTGACTCATTGAACTCTCCTGCCAACTACTTCAGGACCCTTGGGTGGATCCCATCAGGCCCCATAGACTTGTGTGTATCTAAGTGATGTAGCAGGTTGCTGACTTTCCCTTTGGCTTGTGGGGACTTCATTCTGTTCCCCATCCCATTCTTCCAGCTCAGGAGGCTTGGTACCCAGAAAACAAATGGCCTTACTATTAAAGACTGAGGCAAAGAAGGCATTAAGTACCTCAGCCTTTTCCTCATCCTTTGTCACTGTGTTTACCCAAGCATCCACTAAAGGATTGAAATTCCCCCTAGTCCTCCTTTTGTTGTGGATGTATTTATGGAAACAGTTTTTATTGTCTTCTGTGGCAGTAGCCAGATTAGGTTCTACTTTGGCTTTGGCCCTTCTAATTTTCTCCCTCTATAACCTGTGACATCTTTGTAGTCCTCCTGAGTTGCCTACCCCTTCTTCCAAAGGCCATAAACTCTCCATTTTTTTCCTGAGTTTCAGCCAAAGCTCTCTGTTCAGCCAGGCCAATCTTCCCTGCTGGCTTGTCTTGCAGCACAAGGGTTAGCCTGCTCTTTTGGCTTTAAGATTTCCTTCTGGAAGGATGTCCAGCCTTCCTGGATTCCTTTACTCTTCAAGACTGCCTCTCAAGGGGCTCTGTCAACCAGAGATTAAATTAATTTAATCTGTAATTTATGTCACCACACTGAAGGGCAAAGAATTTCTGGCAGCAAAGGGCTTGCCTTAATTGGTTTGCCTTTTTATCATTATTGTTTGTGAAAGGGCTATCATGAAGTGATCATTACTTAGAGTGCTAGATTT